TCTAAGCGTAATAATTTTAATTTTTTCTGTAATACTTGCAGTAGAGTACTATCAAAATAAATATATGGATACACTGTATTTCCTGTATACGCACGTATAATATGTATGTGGGAAAAAATTAGTGTTAGTTTTTTTTTTTTTTGTATGGGGAAATATGAGTATAGTTTTACCTTAGCAATAAGTAACACAATTTCTTATAAGCTAAAAACGGCACCTGAATCAGCTGCTGGTTTAATGCAAATGAAAAAGAAGTTTTTTCAAATTCAATGTCAAATGACCCTCTTAAGAAATGTTTTGTTGCTTTTGTAATTCTTGGAAGCTTACTTATTGAGAAGCTAGTGCTGTATCCAAATATACATCTGTGAATATTCTTTTTAATAGGGTGGACCTGAAGGAAGTTTACTGTCAATATTTTGATTTGGCAGTAAGCAAAAAAGTTGGCTAGGTTACTAGTGATAGGTACTCTTGGTCAGTTTTCTTTTTAAAACTATATTTTGAAAAGCGACGAGAAAAATTTTTTTTTGCTGTTGGAAGAAACTATTAGATGTTTGTTATTATTAATCAGTTAACAATTATTAATGATTTTTAGGTGGTAGTTTTTGCTGTCAATTTAGTTAAATATTCAAAAATTTTTTAAATTTCGAAAGAAATTTGATTAGTTATCCTTATCAGTTAGTTGTTACCTGTACATTTAGTTCTGTCTTCTTGATTTCTACATATACATGCACAACTTGGACCTATGAAATGGTTACTGTTACAGTTGACATTCCCCATTGCTAAGCAGTCTCGGCATCCGCATGACAGATGTTTTTCCATTTTTACAATGATGGATTGGTTCACCTCAAAGTTGTTGTTTCCCATATATATCATTTCAACAACCTGAACACAAATCGAATTTGAAACGTTTTTTAAGTTTAAAATGTGTAAATGTTTAAATTGTTATTGGTTATATTTGTGCAGTAAAAGCGATAGTTACCGGTTTTTCAACGTATTCTTTCGAGAGGGCATGACAAGACTCTGCAACATCACAGCATGATCCAACACACTGAGGAACTTCATAACATCTTGGAAATACCAACACTTGAGAATTGGATATATCTATAGGTACCGGAACACAGACATTTTGTAGAAGACACGTATCGTTACCTTGTTTAATTGAGCTAAGAATTTTCATTGGGTCAGGGCCTGTGGGAGCTAAATTATTAATGTATGATGAACATTTTATTCGACATTCTGCTTAATACAATTTCATTATTTTTTTCAAAATCTACATACGTCTGAAATGTCCATTACAGTAACCGTTCTTTTTTAAGTTCTTGCTTGTACTATATTTTACTCAAGAAGATTAGCATTAAAAATTACATGTTATCAATTGACTGCTTCTGGATGGACCTCGTTTAGTGGAAGCCATGGCAGAAAATGACGATATTTTTATTCTTGCACGGTCTGGCGCTTTCTGTTTGAGTTGCACTTTAGCTGTTTTCATGAAGTCGTGAAATGTACTGGCAGCTTTCAGTTTTAGTCGTAAATCATTTGGTACATCTTGTCCAGCGTATACTGACTCGAATATCAAAGCTATTGTTGCTATGATAATAATCATCGTCATTGTTGCTGAAAATCTTGTTGGTCATGACTGTAGCACTGTACACTATAGTTTATTTAATTTGGAACTCGTTTCAAAAAAAAAAAAAATTGAGCAAGAAGAAAATGTATAAAAACAGTATAAGTTCACATTTTATTAGCTATACTGACAGTTAACCATTACAGTGATTCAAAAAACATATTTTAGTGATCTCTAAGGACAATGACAAAAAAGTTTTTGAAGGAACCGTGAACATGAAGCTGTAATGTTGGTGTTTTAATAGAATACTCGTTTATATCTTTAATTATTTTAATAAGGTAATACATACAATAAAGAATGCTAGACTATTTCTTTGACAAAAACCTGGTAAACAAAAAGAAGTAATTTTGATTTTTGCAGTAAAATTTGATGCAGGTATCCAGTATTAAATCCTTCTACAGCTTACACAGTAAAGCTCAAAATCAAGGCAAAAGTTGGCAAAATTCAGATGTACATTTGTTGAAGCATCAACTTTCAAAAGTTGTATACCTAAGCACCTGTTTCTCAACAAAGTTTTAGAAGGAACTTTTCTACCATCTTAGCCGAGCAATATTTTAATTAGTGGGTCACCTCAGAATACTATATCAACTACTTTTCTTCGCTATTACATAATAAACGTAGATAAGTTTTTTTTTATTGGTGAACACTTGATACTAAGCATCAACTAATAGGTAGTAAGGTCATAAACATTTCTAATTATTAGTCATCTGTAAGAGAAATTTTGACAATAATTGCTGCAAGTGTACTGACAAAAGAATAAAATAGGGAAGAAGAAAAGAGGATAAAACAACTTAAAATTTGTTGTAAGCACTTAAGTATCTTTTTAAAAAGGAAAAGAAAACCTTCTGAAGTTTATCCAACATTTGATAGTTGTTAAGAAGTCGCAGAAAAAAAAAACAGCTTCTAGAAAATTTAGACAGATCAATAGGGTAAATTAATCAATTTTGTTGCCTTAAATGAGCATCAAATTTCCCCCAGAAAAAGAACTCCTATAAACAGTCTGAAAATAATAAAACTAAAAACCTTTTTTTTTTTTTTTTTTTTTTTTTT